GCTTCGCGCGCCAAATTAAAAATATTTTCCCCCCCCCTACAGAATCCTTATGTCCGCCCCTGGACATTCACTTTTATTTCATCTTTTTTTTAAACTTCTTGTTTTTACCTGGATTTGTTCTTCTTGTTCAAGCTGAATCTGTTTATAAATGTCGTCTTCTTTTTCCCTACTATTTCCTTCAGAAGACAGCTCTTCAATAACTCTTTTATATTCATCTACTAAATCCTAAACATTAAAAAATATTTATAGATTTTTATCAAAAAAAAAATGAAAGCCCAAAAAAATTACGATATGGAACTCTTTGAAAACAGGAAACAAATGGTTAAGTTTTATAATATCTTACTTTTAATGTACAGGGTGTCCTACGAAACATGACAGTTGATGAATAGTTTTGAATGCCTTCACTCATTTTCTGTATTAGATATTAAAGACGTTCTGCAGTTGATTTCGTTAAACAATTCTGTTACTTAAATATATTTAACCTTGAAATCGATTTTACTTAATATGACTGCCATTTACTGTTTTTAACATTCTCTTTTGTATCAAACAATTTTACATATTATGGAAGAAGACATTTTAAAATATTCAGTCATGTTTCGTGGGACACCCTGTATGTTGTTACTTTATTCGATGTTATTTTTGGTTTGTGAATTTAATCCTCTTTCTAAACTAAAAATTGAAGATTGTATCGCGGAACATGAGTTGTTTAGCTTTAAGATTATATTTGATCTTAGAAATAATTTGTGATGTTCATTCCTTTCTAAAACATTTTTTTCTTTTTTTCCTTTCAAAGTTACCAGAGGGCCTCAGGGTGGATATACATAACAACATTTTTGTTCAGATTTAAGTTTGTTAAATTAAACTAAAATTATCTGAATCTTAATAAAGTTCTTAATACTTCGGGCAATTTTGAAATCACATAAAATGCAGATCACATTTTGATAATGCCAGGACATGAACTTGTAACAGTTATTTTAAAGTTCAAAGATGATCTTCAAGTTGTCTCTTAAATGTTGATATATTTAAACCAATTAGTCTAACCTTAGTCCGGTTTAGCTCTGATGTTAGGCTCGCCACCAGATTCCCGAGGGTTACTAGTAAAAAAGTTTTTTTTTTAAATTCCAATAATGTTTTCTTAATTATTTAGCTATATAACACTAACCCAGTACATATTTATAGAGCAGAGTTACCCACAGACGATGAGATTTTAATCAAAAAGGGCATGCTTAATGATTTGGCGAATAAAGAAAGAACCAAGACTTTCAGAAAAAGATAAATCAAATCTATATACTTTGCTTGTCTGTTTGTTTGTAACCAATAAACGTTAAATCGTAAAATTTTGAAAATCCACGACATTTTTTGTTATTGTTTTTTTATTGTACAAAGAGAAAGTGCTCACAGATAGAACAACAGTTAAAGTTGAAATATCAGATGATCGTGAAATGTCCTAAAAGTCTAGAGTTCTAAATAAAAATATGGTCTTGAATTATAGTAATATTACTTTCTTTTATATTACCTATTGATTCTTGATCCTTCTTAAGTTCATTTTCTATCTTTTCCTTTTCCATTCTTTCCTGTTCAACTCTTTTCTTTTCTATTCTTTCCTGTTCAATTCTTTCCTGTTCCATTCTTTCCTGTTCTATTTTTTCCCGTTCCATTCGTTCTTGTTCCATTCTTTCCTGTTCCATTGTTTCCTGTTCCATTCTTTCGTGCTCCATTTTTTCTTGTTCTATTCTTTCTAGTTCTGTTCTTTCTTGTTCTATTCTTTCCTGTTCCACTCTTTCCTTTTCCATTCTTTCGTGTTCCATTCTTTCTTGTTCTATTCTTTCCTGTTCCACTCTTTCCTGTTCCATTCTTTCCTGTTCAATTCGTTCCTGTTCCGTTCTTTCCTGTTCCATTCTTTCGTGTTCCATTCTTTCTTGTTCTATTCTTCCTTGTTCTATTCTTTCCTGTTCCATTCTTTCCTGTTCAATTCGTTCCTGTTTAATTCGTTCCTGTTCAATTCGTTCCTGCTCCGTTCTTTCCTGTTCCATTCTTTCCTTTTCCATTTTTTCCTGTTCCATTCTTTCCTGTTCAATTCGTTCCTGTTCCGTTTTTTCCTGTTCCATTCTTTCCTGTTCCACTATTTCCTGTTCCATTCTTTCTTGTTTAATTCGTTCCTGTTCCGTTCTTTCCTGTTCCATTATTTCGTGTTCCATTCTTTTTTGTTCCATTCTTTCCTGTTCCATTTTGTTCAGTTCAAGTCGTTCCTGTTCCATAATTATAAAATCCGTATGATTGAAGCCTGATCCTGGAGCGGAAATATCTTCATCTTGAAATGGAACATCAATAGAAGAATTCAATACTCCTAGATTAAAACCCATAATAAGCAACAGAATCGTTCGTTCATTAAAAATATTAATTTTTTTCCAGAATCTTTTGGAAAATTTGTTTGTTCAGTGAATAAACGATAGTTTTTTTTTCAAGATCGTCCTATTCATTTTAAATCGTTCTTGTTTTTTTGTTCGTTTTAAAAACGAAAGTTTTTTAACGATCCAAGTTGTTTGTCCATTGTTCGTTTTTTAACGATCCAAGTCCATTGTTCGTTTTTTCTCTGGACGACTCCATAGTAGACGAAAAAAATCCTTTGTTCTGAAAAAAATCCTTTGTTCTGAAAAAAATCCTTTGTTCTGAAAAAAATCCTTTGTTCTGAAAAAAATCCTTTGTTCTGAAAAAAATATTTTGTTCACAATAAGGATACCTGTCTCTATTAAGAATAAGGATACCTGTCTCTATTAAGAATAAGGATACCTGTCTCTATTAAGAATAAACTCTAAAAAAGCCAACCTAAATGTTGAGATTGTTCAAAAGAGGCAGATTTCAAATCTCTGTTCTCTCTTCGTAGTTTTTTATATTTGCTCTTCAACTCCAGATAATCAGTTTCCATATTCAACATCTTAAATAAAAATAAATGAATGGAAATAAAAAAGAAACATTTTTTAATAAAGTGAGACCCTTTACACTGGGGAATATTAAGACGACTGTAAGACTAAAGTTATGGTGATAAATAGTGTACACAGACCTATTTCACTTAATTTGATCTCTTTAAGCTTTTGGTAAAATTATTTGCTTTGTACAGCATCAAATATCAAATACAAATAAGATTTCCTAAATGTCGTCTTCCTATTCTACACATTTATGGGTACTTGGATACGTTCTGTACGGAGGAGGAAGAATCTTACCTTTGTTTGAAAATCACAAAAATCTCCAATTTTCACTTCTAAAGGTCATCATATTTTAAGAATTTAAATAAGATATCCAAAAATGTATTTTTTAGATTTGTTATTTTTGAAATCTACAAAATATGATGAACCTAAAGACCCGATTTTATTCTAAAAATGTTTCAAAGTTATTTCAAAATTTATCAAACAACAAAAATTTTAAAACATTATGTTGGTTGTCAGGTTGAAAGGAATCAAATTGATATTATAAGCTTTGAGAATATATCTTTTTAACTTTGCTTTCCTTGTATTTATCTATTCTTCTTTGTAGACCTTCTATTTCCTTCTCCAAGCTGCTGTTTACTTCTTCGGCTCTATAGATTACGAGGGAAAGATAGATAATTATTCACGAGCCAAGGTTATTTATCCTCTGAGCCCCAACACACGAAACAAACGTTGGTATTAAAAATGTATTGCATTTACTAAGGGAAAAGCTAAAATTTGTATTGCACTAAACTATAGGGTACTTTCTTACACAGCTGTGTACTGAACTACACAGCCCTGTACTACATAGAACTTACTACAACTGTACTACATTGTACTGTACTGTGATGAACTGTAGTGCACTTAACTGCACTGTACTTTACTTTATTGTAAGCCACTTAATTTTACTATCTGTACTCAGGTACTGTACTGTACTACACTGTAAAGTGTACTGTAATTCAATGTACTTAGCTCAGGTGTTCCGTACTGCACTGCAAAGTGTACTTTTCTGTATTGTATTGCATTGTATTGTACTGTTTTGTTTTGTATTGAACTGTACTGTAATGTACTGTACTTTATTATACTTAACTGTACTGAACTGTACTGAACTGCACTGTACTGTACTGAATTATACGGTTACTGTACTGAATTATACGGTACAGTACAGTACAGTAAAGTACTGTACTGTACTGTACTGAACTGTACAATAATGTATTGTAGTATACTGTACTGTACTGTAAAATACTGTACTATAATATATTATGTCTCCTCCCTGATTAAGTTTTCAATGTTCAGCTTATTTTGTTTCTTCAAGCTAAGATTCTCCTTCTGCAGTTCCTCAAGCTAAAACAAATATAATATTTATCAAACACAATATTAAAGTATTATTAAAGGTATTAAAGGTACTTCCAGCATATTATTAAAGGGAGTTTCAACGTATTTTATTAAAGGGATTGTTATAACGTATCAGTAAAGGGACTGTTAACGTTTTACTTAAAGGACGTATTTTTAATGGGACAGTCAATGACCCGTAAACTTTGTGTGTGAAAAAATAATCAGAAATCTAATAATCATTAACTGCAGGTTATCTCTGAAAAATTATTTGTGGATTTAAGTTCATGCAGACGAGTAAGGAGTTTGGCAGAATTAATATATTTTCAAGATAATACAAAACAAAACACGAATATATCTTCCTCTCATTACTCAGATAAATATTGAAAAGGTACAGTGGTAAACTGGGCATATTTAGGTGGACGCTGGTTTGAAGGTCTGTAGTCGAAAATCTCTTTAACAGCAAATTTTAAATTGAAATTTGGTTGGTTGGCTTATGTTACGAGTTTGGATTATAAATCTCATTGTTAAAAATATAATGGTTTCGAATTATTTAAATAAAAGCTTTTAGCCCAAACAATATAATTTTTAGAAATTTTTGACATGGTAAAAAATAAAAAATAATTAATATTTAAAATTTGATAAATATTATTAATTTAATAAAATATATACAGTTTTATGAATACCAATGCAGCTATAGCAAGATGTGCATAAATTACATGTCAAACTTAAGGAAATTGGATTTTGATGTTGACTTTTATGTTTTAAATGTCGAATACGCTTTCTAGATAAGCTGAGTAAATAATACATAATTAATTTATTAACTTGAATAGTTTGCTTTAATGAATTTATCAACAATTTTAGGAATTATGTGAAGTCATAAAATTTCAGTTTCTTATGATGTTTAATTTTTTTGAATCATTATAATTTGAATGAGTAGTTGTTAACCAATTAACCAAGAGTACACTAAAGAGATCTATTAAAGTCTGGTATATGCGATATTTTCAACAACAGGTTTCATTGTGTACAACTAGAGTACTAAACCAATAAGCAGACATCTATCTTTAGAGATATTTAAGGATCCTTTGGGTACGAAATACAAAACCTTTAAAAATAGGCTAAATTAAAAAACTTTAGGTTTATGTTTAGTTAGAGAATTTTTTTAGATTGTAAAACGTAACGGCCCTGAGTTGGTATTGTGCAACAAGTGGCGATTAGATGCCGGTCAAAAACCTTTTATAGGAATATAGCTGTTTGAACTATTCTATTAGAGCGTTTAATGAAAAGTTTACATTTGTATGATTTCTGATAAAGACAACCCTGAACAAGTCGTTTTCTAGAAATTTTCAAAATGAAAGTTAAAATCCCATCAACATATAATTCAACCATGTTTTAAATTATTTCTTGAACTCACTCCTTTTAGTTTGATTTTAATAATTTTATTACATTTGACAATTTTGTATCATCATACTTGATTGTTAAAATATATAGAAATTTTGGAATCGATCAGTTCATGACATTTTGTTAATTATAAATATGATGTTTTTAGGTTGATTTTGATGATATCTCATCATCCCCTCTGCACTGCACTATAGAATCCCAAGAAGGGGAGACTGACCCCCCCCTCAGGTACAACCCTGCTGACCTTAAGATGTGTGAAAAGTAACCTGTGACTCAATAAATGTATCTGATAGAAGAGTATCCCCTCCCCCAGCGTAACCGTACGGATGAAGGTTCTCCTCGGAACCGCTAGAGGTCTCCCAGATCTGCAGGGTTTCTGGGTTTATAGACCCCATACTTTCTGAAATATAAAATAAGTCACATTAATTTCATTTTAGAATAATATGGTATTATTAACAATGTAAAACTAATTCTTATGTAAAATCCTTATTGGTACAACACTTGTCTCATTTTCAATCGTTCCTGTTCAATTCGTTCCTGTCTTATTCTTTCCTCTTCCATTTTTTCTTCTTCCATTCTTTCCTGTTCAACTCTTTGCAAGTTTTCCTGGATTCCCCTCCTGTTTCCTGGATTCCACTAATTCTTTCCAGAATTACACCTGCTGTTTCCTGGGTTCCCTTCATGTTTTCTGATTATATTTCCTGTTTCCTATATTCCCCTTCTGTTTCCTGGGTGCTCCTCTAACTACGAATATATTACTGAGTAAGTATATTGAGGATAATAATCCCGTCTACTAGGTTTAGGTTCAGATAAGCGTAAAAACTGTTTCCTTATCTCCGGCTCAAAACATCATCCTGATCCTACACTATTTATCCTTCATATTCAACTGTTTTTTTTTATCTCAACATTTCTTTCATCTATCTAACTAATTGTTTTATCTTAAATAGGGCTTTTTTTTAGAAAATAATCTTGGCTTTTTGATATTAGTCTAAAATAGTAAAAAAAATGTTGCGGATTTTTTATTTTCATTGGCAGATTTTCAACATCTTTAAAAAAAATATATTCTGGCCAGGTCTTAGCATTCCATACAGTCATATGATAAACCAGAAAAAAAATGAGCCTTGTAGGTTCAGCCGTTTTTATGTTTTTACCAAACTATAATTAAATCAAATGATAAATTTGTGCATTTCTTCTAAACTTCCAAACATTAATCTTCAGTTCTTGGATTTATTTTTGCTTGATTTATCATCCTGCAAGTTGGGAAATAGTTTTTGATCAGAAGAAATTAAGAATTATCAAACTAATCCAGGGATGCCTTAAAAATCCTAAACTTGTCTGTTTTACAGTAAAACTTAAAAAAATGTGTTAAATGGAAGGGAATCTTTGATATAAAGCTTTACACTGTCAATATGTTTGATGGCAAATGGAGGCAACATTAGATAAGTGACTAGGAGACGTCCCCCCCCCCTTCTATTTATTTTATGTTCAAGAAAATGAGTTGCTGAGTAATATAACCCATGTGCAAACAATAAAGAGCCCAGAAAAAAGAAAAGCAAACCAGCTCAGCTCAATTCAATACAGAGTTCAGAAAAAAAGCAAGATCCTCTAAAAATAGTTCTTTCTACTTGTAGAGTGGCATACTGCAAGGATATCCAAAAAAAATTCAAAGTCAGCCAAAATATGATTGAAAGATGTACGAAAAAGAAGAAAATGGAGAACAAGAAATATAGCTATATCAAAATATGATTGAAAGATGGACGAAAAAGAAGAAAATGGAGAACAGGAAATATAGCTATATCAAAATATGATTGAAAGATGAACGAAAAAGAAGAAAATGGAGAACAAGAAATATAGCTATATCAAAATATGATTGAAAGATGTACGAAAAAGAAGAAAATGGAGAACAAGAAATATAACTATATCAAAATATTTTTATCTAATATCAAATAAATATTCACAGAATTATGTTTTAAAAAAATTTTGTCGTTTTTTGGATATATCTTCTATCAGGGTAAAAACTTACTGTAAGACAAGCAAAATAAACAATTCACAACTTTGACTGTTTGATCTAACGGAATTCACAGTTTGAAATATCAAAGGTCTACGAAGTCAGAGGTCAAAAACTTTTGTATTATGAATTCCGAGGAATTTGTATCCTGTTGAATTGATCCCTAGGGAATCAATAAAATCATTTAGAAAATCCCTTGGTGGTCTTACCAGGAAGGACATTTAAGCACGAAGTGATGTGCCTTCAGTTGGTTCGTTTTTGGGTCCAAAGGAATTGAGTCTTTGCCACAAACTCTGATTTTCTAATCACTATATCTTTGGAACCAAATGTTGTATACCTTAGATATTTCAAACTATGAATTCTGTTAGATCAATTAATCTCAGTTTGAAATATCAAAGGTTTACAACATCGGTTTCTAAAGATATTGTGGTTTAAAAATTTGATTTTGTTCCAAAGACTCAATTCCTTTTGCACAGGGTAAGAAGAGCTTACAGGGACCGTTTACTTATTTGGGTAACTTGAGGGTAAACTAAATAGCCTACTGGCTATCCATTGGCATGAGTCTTAATTTTCAAAGTCAACTGTGGCATGAGAAAAAGCCGATTTATCATTCAGAATTTTAGCGCAAAGGTATGATACCTTTGTATTCACATTATTTGATTGCCTATTTTTAAAATAAAACTTATTTTAAACATTTGACGATTTGATACATTTTCCCTATAACTACCCCAGGACTCCCCCTAATTTATTGAAGAGTTGGAATCTAGAAACCGGTTTGTCTGAGAGAGAAAGTTGTCTTTGTATATACGTGTCAATTTGTTAAATCATGATTGAACACGAAAAACGTTAATTTCTTAAAAATACTAAAAGTCTAAATATTATATTTCAAAAGATAACATACCTTTCCACTGGAATTCTAAACGATAAATATTAAATCTGCTTTTTCTCCGGTCATAGATATCTTTGAAAAGTAAGAATAGCTAATAGTCTTAATAGTTTACCATAAAATTACCCCAATAGGTGAACGGTTCCTTTAAATGTTTCAATTTTTTTTAATCTAAACCTTTTTTAATAAATACAAAAAACGACACAAAAAAGAGCCAAAAATAAACGTCTTGTAAATATCATTTTTAAATTGTTTTTTCTTCTTCATTTTTTAGGATAAATAAATTGAACTTTTTACCTGGGTCAATGTCACATATATATATTGACCGATTTGTCTCAAAATTTGATTAGTATCCAAAATTTCAGTCTTTTCTAGAAATGATGTCAATCTTAATTGTTTAATTCTATAAATTAATTTTAAGTCTGTCACAAGATGAGTTTTGTTTTCCTTTCAGATTTTATTTTTGCGTAGAATTTTAATGAAAATCATAACATTGTATGATCAAAACCTCTCTTTTAAGTTTAATTGAACGTTGTGATATCAATGTTTTCCAATGGTTAAGGATTTATTGGATAGCAAATTGTGGGTAATAACTGCAGGGAGAGGCGGCAAAAGTTTAATTGTTGGTTTTTATAAAAAAAATTCCAACATTTTGAAATATAATTTTTCTTTAAAAAAAGCGCACCTTTAAAACTCCGAAGCAATGATTAATAAAAATCTTTTAATGAATTTAAACATTTTCAAGGAATCTCCAAATCTGAAATCATTTTTATTTTCAAATGCACACTATTAGCGCACAGCACCGTAGTTTAACATTTCAAATTGACTTTGATCTCTAATAGACATATATATTTTTACACCTAACATTTCAACAACTCCTTAAAAAGAAACATTTACTAAGTTTCCCAGTTTAAAATTTCTGCATTTGCATCTTATTTGCATATTTTCCTGCAAAAATACTAAACTTTAAACAAAATTCAATCACTCAGAAAATGCATTGACTAATTCATTTTTAGACACGCATGGTATTACGTACGTTGTTTATGGACTGGCGATATTGATATCGTCTTTGTAACTTTTTATTTAGAATGGTGATGTCTACTTTACTGTAGGGCTGGGCACGTTCCAGCTTTTTCTAACTGTTCCAACCGTTAAAAAATAAGAATTTCAATTAGGTCTTAATTTTAAGGGTAAGAAAAGGACGTTCGTTCCGCTAACGTTTTAAAAAAATGTCATGCAATTTAATCAGAAAATAACAAAATTTTTGGCTTTTTAGTCAACGTTTTTAATCGTTAATTTTTTTTCAAAACCAACTATTTCGTTTCCTTAACGATTTAAAAATTAACGGTTTTCGCAGTCCGTTAATTTTAGAAAACTTCCGTTTTGTTGACGGAACTTTGCACAATCTTTGCTAGAATTAAGAATTTTATTTTTTGACTGCAAAGTGCATAGTGCATACTGTTGAAGAATTCTTGTATACACACAAAGTACAATTGTTCCTTTTCACTTTTCATCTTGCAGAAATGTGACAGATACATCTGACATCATATACAACGTTTTGTAGAATAACATCTCTCACTGGAAACCCATTGGGTATGAGAATGTAAAGACGACCTGAAAGTTAAAAGATATGACGATACCAAAGTTAAATTAAGTGTCTTTAAATTAAGTTTTTAAAAAGCTAATCGTATGATTTGGCAATGAAAGAAACGAGTTCACATTTGCAAAAAATCATAAATAAAAAGGAACACACGACCAAATTTAGCTCGCCAAATTTCGTTGCATAAAATGCGCTGGGTCAACCAGATACTTGGCACTATTCACTAGACGGGCTGGTACGAGTAAACACTTGACCCGTCAATCCTCGGATCATGAAACGATCGTGCTCATGTTAACAGACAGTATACATTTCGTGCAGTCGTCTCTAAAATCTTATTTTTTGTGGGTAACCCTGTAAAATGTACTCTATAGCAGACGTAACTTTATGATCATTGAATTCAGGTAATACAACGCTAGTTCAATAAAGACGATTTCGAATTCGTCATTTAATTCCCATGTTTATTAGGAATATTAGGCATTTACCATGTTGCACTTGAAAAGAAAGCACAATTAAAAATAAACAATTTTCAGCAAGCGAAAAAAGGACATTTCAGTCAACCTTGATCAGTCTAATGACCCTTTCCCGAACATACCATTGTAAATTGGACTTACCATGGAATAGAATTCACTTCTACAGTCAAAGGAATTCAGTCTTTGCAACAATGATTTTCCAATCAATATTTCTTTGCAACACAATGTCGTTTACCTTAGTTATTTCAAAATATGTATCCTGTTAGATCAAATAATTTAAGTTTAAAATATCAAAGGTTTACACTATCAAAGGTGTAGGAACTAGAAAATTTGAGTTTGTGACAAAACTCAATTTTTCTGAAGAAAAGCACAATTAGAAATTATTAATTTCGTTTGTTTATAATCAGTCGAGGGTGAATGAGTCCCTTGAGTTGAGTTCTACGTATAAAGCATAAAAGTTAATATTATTTTGTTTTAATTTTCACTTCATACTGTTTTTAGATTGTAGTATTCTCACAAAATAATTATATTAACTTTGCTAATAATATTAGCTCATGTATTCAACCTGCACAGCTGAAGCATAAACTGATTTAAAATCTTTATGCATGTTTTTATTGAACAAGTATGTAAACTGCACTCTATACAGTCTCTATACATACAGGTATAACACTTTTTACCTGGGTCAATGTCACATATATATATATAAAATAGTATTATTAATCGTTTTAGTTCGTTGTTAAAAAACTTTTAAGATTTCAAACCTGTATTCTGTTAAAGTGTTTTTGATTAAACTTTGCAATATCTATTTCCTTAAAAAGGAAAATGGGAAAATGATCCAAAAAAGATTAATAAAACACGTTCTTTTTAAAATCGTTTTCAGATAGTTTTTTAGTTTGTTTGTGCATATATTT